GCCGCGCCGGCGGGGACGGTCTCGCGCTGGGGTTCTCCCTCTCCGGCGGTCGCCTCCTTCCCCTCCCCGTCCTCCTTCGCGTCCTTCGCCCCTCCCCCCTCCGGTCCTCCGAGTCTTCCTCGGCGTTCGGTGCTGCGGGCACGAGAGTTGTGACACAGCCCAGCACCTTCGCCGCTGGGATGGGCGTAGAGAAAGTGGGTGACAAGTGTCGTGCGGCTCAGGCAACGCACTGCTGACGGGTAGGGGAGGAGAACGACCACACGGCGAGGCGACGGGGTCCTCTTCCTCCGCCTCCTTCCTGCTACTCCATCCTCCTCCTCCTCCTCCTCCTCCTCCTCTTCCTCCTCCTCCTCCTCCTCCTTCCTGCTCCTCCTTCCTCCTCCTCCTCCTCCTCCTCCTCCTCCTCCTCCTAATACTGCTTACCCCTGCCACTCTACCAAGCCACTGCCGATGTACAAGCCAGGCGCGAAAGAGGGACGGGAGGAGGAAACCTCATATGAACGAGGAAGGATGGGGGTAGCAATTGCGAGGCTCTGTGAAATAGTGTGCCGATATGACACGTGCGTTCGCCACTCGCCGCCGATACAACTAAGGCAGGTGTAAGCGACAACATGCGGTACGGCGCATGTTAGCTCATAGGGGCCTCCTTGCCAAGGGCGTATTTTAGCTCCTAGGTCCTAGGGGCCCTTCTGGCCAAAGGCTTATTTGAATCCAGTTCTTACCCTGGAGCTCTTTTATGAATTTTGATAAGCCGTTCTCAAATTCGCATAAGCGTTCATTCCGGAATTGATCACCCGCCGCCCCCCCGGAATCCATCTCCCCGCCCCCAGCATTTCTCCCAGAATTTATCCCCCGCCCCCGGCATTTCCCTCTCGCCCCCGGGGGGGTGGCGGCGGCAGCATGAAGTGGTTTCGCCGGCGTTGGTTTCGCCGGCGCTGGTTTGTCCCCGCTGGCTTCGGCGACGGCTGCTTTACGCTGTCGCTGGTTTCGCTGGCGCTGGTTTCGCTGGCGCTGGTTTCGCCGGCGGCTGGTTTCGCCAGCGGCTGGTTGCGCCGGCGATGGTTTTGCCGGCGCTGGTTTTGCCGACGCCGTCGTCGCCTTCGCCGTCGGCGTCGCCGCCGCCGCCGCCGTCGTCGTCGTCGTCGTCGTCGTCGTCGTCGCGCGTCGGGCGTCGGACCCGAGCGGGTGGGTCGGGTCGGGCGGGCGAGCCCGAGCGGGCGGGTCGGGTTGGGTCGGGCGGGCGGGCCCTAACGGGCGGGTCGGGTCGGGCGGGCAGGGCATTCAAATGAGGGCCACGCTCGATCGAGCACGCGCGAACCCGAAGAGGCGGACCTTAGCGGGCGGGTAGGATCAGGCAGTTTCGCCGACGGCAGCTGGCTTCGCCGACGGCAGCTGGTTTCGGTGGGCGGCGAAACCAGCCGTCGGCGAAGCCAGCGATTTCCGCGGCGGCGTGGGGGCGACCCGCCAACCACGAAAAAACAAAGGGGCCCGTGGGGCGAAGAGCCAGGGCTAGGGCAGTCTTCGACGTCTCGAAGAACCTCGACGTCGCGTTTTTGTTCCCAAACAGCTGTGCTAAAGCCAGTTCCGGCCGGGTGCGGCCAAAGCAGAGGCATCTTCGAAATGTTGAGGTGGTCGGGCGTGTTTCGCTGGAGACGTCCTCGCAACTCTCGTTTCTGAGTGAGGGGCGGGGGATGAAGGGGGGAGGATGGCGCCAGGAAGGGGGTTCTCCTCCTGCTCGCGCCCGCACTCTCGCGCTTCATTTCGTTCAAGACATCTTCGAGAAATCGGCCCCGGAGGGGACTCCGAATCGACATCGTCTTGGAACCGATCCTGAGGGCTTTCGAACGGCCCAAAGGAGGCCTAAAAGACGCCCCGGAGGGCCCCTAGAGCGCCCAAGAGCTCCCCAAGAAGGCCCTAACAGACCCCGAAAACGCTCCAGGAGGCACCCAGACAGCTCAGGAGAGCTCCAAAACGGCCCGAGACGGGCCAAGAGGGCCCCAAGAGACTCCCAGGAGCGCCCCAGGAGGCACCCAAACGGCTTAAGAAAACCCCAATACGGCCTAACATGGCGCCGAGATGGCACAAGAAAACTTCCAAAGAACCCCGCGACGCGCCCAGACAGCCCAAGAAGACTCCTGAAGCCCACACGAGGACCCAAGAGGTCCCCAAGAAGGCCCCAACAGGCCCCAAGACAATCCCGCGCGGCGTCAGGAGCCCCCCAGGGGGTAGCCATGGGGTCACCAGGATCTCTCCTGATTCAACGTCCTTCTCCAGCTTCCTCTTACTGTCCTCCGTCGTCGTCATCGTCCTCCGCATTCCTCCTCGTGCTCGCTCTCGTTCTCTTCGTCCTCGTCCTTGTGCTTTTCTTCCTCCTCGTTGTCCTCATGCACCTCCTCGCTATCCTCACGTTGTCCACGTCGTCCTCATCATTGCCTCCGCGTCGCCCTCGCCTTTATTTTCTTCCTCTTCGCCCAATTTCCCCATTGGACCAATGCAGCGCTTCCCGTTCTTGCCCGATCAGGTTTACAAGGAAAGGGTGGAAGCGAAGAGGGGGAGGAGGAGGAGGAGAAGGAGGAGGAGGACCAGCCACCCAAGTGGTTTTCACATCCTGGTAAGCTGGCACCAATCGTGACTTACGGTGTGTTGCATTACGCATATGCATGGCCACACACATACGGGTAGGCACACCCAATGGACAGACCCTCCGACACGCCTCTCAAGATACCTACACACTACACAACAGTCAGTGTGTGTTTACTCGCACTGGGGCGATCTGGACACACAACGTCACCGTCATACAGGTACGACACTCGGTACACATAAATATACAGTACACAGACAGGAACTTTTCAGTTATAGAGGACACGTTTACTTGACATCAATCAGCTCGCCGTGAGACCGATTGGCTTTGATACAATGTGCAGAAACCAAGTCTTCTACTTACCGTTGCTGAGTTTGGCTCCAACCCCTACAAGTGCAGTCTTCGCTGACTGTCCTACCAACCCTGTCTAGCACTGCGAAGCACAGCGCCACACCCACGACGACACGCGCTACAATGACATAATCTGAAGCACCCGGTCCATACCTGGCATGGGAGTCGCAAGGCATACCTCAGGTAGGAGTACGAAGGGTACTTTTAGTTGGCATACAGGGTCCAGCCAGCCCCAGACCTGGAATGGGAGCCGAAAGGCATACTTCAGATAGGGACCAGACCATCTACTCGACTTTGCATTTTCGTTCATAGTTACCTTTACATTGTCGCCTCTTTTAACCGTAGCAGCCAGGCTCACATGTGTTACAGCGACACTGTTTTCATCGCTCCTCACCCTACATGTTTGCGCCATGTTCGCGGGTACCGCACCATACATAGCGACTACTACGGACACGTATGCTGTACACAAACACATGTGGGTAAGCACCACGCGCTTCGTTTACCTACCTTCCATACCCAATCATATAGCGTGGTCAGAAAAGGGCGAAGACCAGCGGGCCAGAGAGTGGACATTACTACTCGACCAACAATACCGACCAACAACCGACCAATTCGAAGACGACTGCCATGACGAACTCCCACCACTACCGAAGACTCGTCACAAGAAGAACCAACAATAACTACTACGCAAAGCAAACCCCGCAACACGACCAATCGTCTGCACAAGTACTCCGTGCACAAGTACAGCCATGCAACACACGACGACGCGGCCGACGAGCGCATCGGCAAGTACTACGTGTACATATCCTTGCACCTGGGACACGGGCAGTCACCAGTTCCCACCACAAAAGGGTGGGCACGCACAACACGACATACAAACATCACGACTTGCTTGAAATGGATCGCATATTCCTCCCACGTCAACACCCGCACACACACACACACACCGCCGAGCTACAGGACGCCTCGGACCACGAATGCGAATTGCCGGACGCATGGACAGACCCGATACGCGAAACATTTGACCAACTCCCACCCCAAGGACCTACCCCACCCACCCACTTCGCCCTGACATCGCCAACGGTTGTGAATCCCATGTGGCCGCATGATCTGTCACTTGGCCCCGACGCCGATCACCGACATGCGCCCCAGCGTGCACGTCGCCCGACAGCACCGCAACCCCAACTACATCCGACCGTAGCCTACGCTTGAATTGCCCCACCCCAGCGGTCCACAATTCCAGTTCAGACCCCAAGGAATCTCAGGACCACGGACGGTGTCATCATGCCCACGGACATTGGACAATATCACCCATGCGACAACTTTGTTCAAGGCAAACTAGCACAACTATTCACTGCAGAGCAAGAGCTGTACGAATACGAGAACAATGTACGATAGACTTGCACAGGATATACACCACCAGTACCACCACAGCGCTGTACAGCAACGCATCCCGAACATCGTCTTCAGGCCCAAGAGAGCGCACCAGCGAGACAGACCACCTCCGACAGCCAGCTACGAACCTACAACACCTCCCGAGGCGCAGATACCCACGCCCCCGAAACGGACAGCACCTCAGCAGCAACCACAATTGCCTCCACCACACAACCCATGGGGCCACGTTAAAGACCATGCAGTTTACATACCAGCCGACGACGCATCCGACCCCGATAGTAGCATCGACAGAAGAGACCCATGGGGCAAGCTAGACGGAGCAGCCGATTCACGGGAGTTTTAGCTTACACCGATATTTCCACAGAAAGGACACGACGTGCGTTGCTCGAGCGGATCGATTTGTTACGCCCGTGACGCCAGGGACAGGGACACCGACGGATGCCAGTGCGACCGATGGCGTTGGGCCGTCTATTACCGCGAAGCCACAATATTTACAGCCTTCCCCTCCTCAACGAGCATCGTCTCCCGCCAGGTTGACGCAGGTAAGTGGACAAGTACAGCAACGAGCTCCTCATGCACCGAGACCAGCAGCAATGCTTTCCACGCCTTCCACTGCGGCCGCACTCGCGCGCAATGCCACTGTCGACTGTCAAACTACCACTCACAGGTCGCA